TTTCCAAAAGCTCTTTGTTATTGTGGGAACTCAACCTCCCCTGTGTAAAGTGGCCACTAGATGTCTCCAAATTAGTTTGCATTACATAATTATAATCATTAAAACTCATCATAAAGTATTATTTTTGCTAATGTATAAATTGCCACTGATTTAGTTGTTTCTTATTTTTATCTTTTCTTGCTTTTTTTTTCTGATTTCAATCTCCTGTGTTAATATTTAAATCATCTAAAGCACATTGAATTGTACCGAATTGTGCAATTTAAATAGTCCTCCCTGATAATCCAATCATTAGTTCAACTTTTTTATTTTCTTTAGTCCAATTGTTTTTAATGTTCTTTTTTGTTTCTGGATTTTTTTTCCTACTTGCTTTGATTCTGTTTTATTTTCCTATATTTTAATCATGTAAAGCACTTTGTATTGTCTTTGTATTGAATTATGCTATACAAATAAATGTGCCTTCCTGGCCTTTCTTGCAATAATAAAACACTAAGAAACTGAACATTGCTAGAAAGTGATCTACAACATGTTTCTGAACAATTATTAATGTTTAATTATTTAAATGTTTCAAATTTAGTTAAATACTGTACAGTTTCTTTGTGGCATTTTACTATTAGCTGCTAAACCTTTTTGTAATGAGAAATAAGTGTTACAGAATCATAAAAATTTTTTTTTTGACAACTGTTGGTTTGTCTCACCAAGCATTTCAATTCCAGTCACTTTTGTGATGAAAAATCACTTTATTGTACAGTCCCTTAAAAACAAAGCAGCCCAAGTGTAAACCTGAGCCATGGTCTAATGAGAGGACCAGGGCTGCCAAAAGGGAATGTTGCCTAGCAGAACGAAGGTGGAAAAAGATGAACTGCATGAATCCCATCAGATCACAAAGGACTGCTGCTGTCATTACCAGAAAATGGTTAAATAAGAAAAAAAGAACTCTTCTGGAAAATGTGTCATCTAACAGACACAAAGAAATTACTTTGTTTGACACAACTGACTCTGTTCTTAACCTTTATTTGATCTCTTGTTTAGAATCTTTAGTTGTGAGAACGTTTTAAGCTATTTTTATGACTTTTTACTATTCTGATCCTTCAGTTGCAGTTCTTTGCTTGGTTGTTCTTACGATGTTTGAACCTGTGACTCTTTTTTTCTAAAGGATGTTGTAACAGATCTGAAACCATCAGGTTCCCCATGGGAACCCCATGGACCAATCTACATTGTCCAATTATTGGCCTATTTCTAAGCTACCATTTATTTCAAAAGTCTTGGTAAATATTTATTTTTTTTGCAGCTTAAACCTTTTCTGGAGGGAATGACCCCCTTGAGAAGCACAATGTTCTTAACTGGTTCAGATAATGTATGACCGAACAATCTTTCTGTGCCAAAATTAGCAATGCTGAATTGTCTAATGCTTCTCTATCCTATGGGGTCCCACAAGGCTCAATTTTAGCCCCCCTACTCTTTTCTTTGTATTTGCTGCCACTTGGTTCCATACAGATTTTAAATCAACTGTCACAAATATGGGTTTTAAGGTGGACAGTGTTTGAGCAGTTGTCAGATCATGCTTTTATTAGTTAAGACAAAAGGAAAAAGTAAAACCTTTTCTTTTGATTAGATTACTGTAAAACACACTATGTTGATGTTTGCAGGTCTTTGCTGTCCTGCCTAAAGCTGATGTAAACTGCAGCAGCCCATCGTTTAACTGGTCCTCCAAAATACGATCACATTAGTCCTGTGCTGGCCCTACTTCAACGGCTGCCTCTGCATTTTAAAATTTATTTTAAAATCATTATCATAGCTTTTAGGTGCTTAAATGACTTTGCCCCATCTTACCTCTGTGAGCTTCTTCACCCCTACTTGCCTCCTCTGTCCCTAAGGCAAGCACAACAGCAGCTCCTGCAGGTACCAAGCTTTAAGAGGAAGTTCAGAAGGCTGGGAGCCTTCTCTATCGCTGCTCCTCCTTTATGGAATAACCTCTCGCTACACATTAGGGAGGCTCCTCTATTGCCAGATTTTAAAGCACGTCTCAAAACGCACTTATATTCGCTGGCTTTTAACACTAGAAGGATTTAATTATTGTGACCTTGTTTATTTAGCTTAAACTATTTCGTATTATTGCCTTTTTTACATCTTCATTCTGTATTTTATACTTTAATTGATTTTTATTATTTTTAGCTTATTTCAAATTAAATTGATGATGATGATGATGATGATGATGATGATGATGATGATGATGATGATGATGATGATAATGAAAGTCGTAGGAGTTTTTATTGCAATGTTTCATACATAAATATTGTATTAATGCAATAATAGTAATTTCATATTTTTTTTAGAATTTTAATAAGTAAGTAATCATTTCATTCATTCTTCATAATACAAATGGTAAATGCCCTCTACTTATATAGCACTTTTTTTTTAAGTCAGGAGAATTGACCAAAGCACTTTACACTACATTCATTCACCCATTCACGCACACACTGATGGTGGCAAGCTACATTGTAGCCACAGTTGCCCTGGGGCTCACTGACAGAAGCGGGGCTGCCGTATACTGGCTCCACCGGGCCCTCTGACCACCATCAGTAGTGTCATGCCCAAGGACAGAACAACTATGAAAGTCGGAGCCAAGGCTTGAACCGTCAATCCTTCGATTTCATGGCAAACTCCTACACCGAACGCCACCGTTGCCCAAATACATACATTAAACATTTAATGTCCTACAATCATATTTGAGTTCTACTTATTATTATTAATGTACTCATCTCTATTCCAATGTTGCCTCCTGAAGCTAAAAAGCTTCAAACTAAAAATCAGAAAATAACTTTAGGAACATTTTGTCATATGTTTTCCATCTAACAAAATGTATCAGTTGTAAAAGACATCAATTAACCTTTATCTATTTATTTTAATTGTACAACTTAATTGAAATCTGAACCTTTTACTGAATTTATCTGCTAAATTTCACACGGCCTCAAAGGGCATTGTTGCTCTTACATGGATCATGTAAAGTTTACATTCCTGACAAAAAATCATTCAAAATACATTTGATAGTATTCTTAGTGCTACAGGCTTGTGTATAAACCAACAGTTGTATTATGCATAAACCATGTTGGCTGTATTTATGTTAGAACAGATTATGAAGCCAATTAGCTTCATCCATCCATGACGGTTTAGGCTATCCTGATCTACTGTATTTCTGTTTTTATGCTGCTTTACACTTAAGCTGTTGGAAGGCATAAAGACAACTTTCTCTCCATACATTACATTGTAGCACTTGTGCATTATTTCTTACTTAAACTTTTTATTTCATGTCCACTCAGGTTTCTTTTCTATTTAGTTAGCTACTTTAGTCCTGGCACTTTATTTAGCGCATTGGCATCTGCTGGGCTCCTGTTATAAACATATTACAGTTGGTGCTACCGTATTTTAGCTTTGTTTGTTTCACAAAAATGGTTCTTGACTGAGTTTGTTCTGAGACTAACTGCATTTGCTGTCTTTCATCCTCTTGACATGAAAACCATCTCAGAGCTCATCTTGTTAATTCTTTGTTTCCTACATTCAATAAAACAATGGAAATGACAGTAGACTGTTGCTACCTTCTCATTTAGGAGTTCATTATGTAAACTCAATGACTCCATGTGATCTGCTGGCTTTAACCTGCCTGTTTTTATGATTTGATTGAATCGATTCTTCTGAGTGCCATAAAATGAACTGTTGTGAATTTGTGCTATATAAATAAACTGACCTGAATGGAAGGCCAGTCTTTATGTTCCATCACAAAATCTAATTTGGATTTGAAATTAATTTTAGCCTCTTCACTTTATGCTGGTGAAGATTTTCAGTCATCCCGGTCATAGTTATTCCAAAAAAGATAAATAAATTAAACAATGCACTGGACTTTGTTTCCAAGGAAGCTTTTTCAATAATTGAAAAAGCTTCCTGGATGGGAAGCAAAATGTCTTCAAACTTGGAAACAAAGTTCGGTGAATTTTATTTTTTTGGAGTCTCTCCATTTTGCTTTATAAAGCAGGGGTTCTAAACCATTTTGAACCAGAAAGAAACTGCTCTGTATGGGTCTGAGCTGCTCAGTGGCACAGTGGGTAGCACTGCTGCCTTGCAGCAAGAAGGTTTGCATGTTCTCCCTGAGCATGCGCGTGTTCTCTCCGGGTACTCCGGCTTCCTCCTGTTAAAGCGAGAAGGATTTGTCCCCTTGGAAGGAAGGCTGTAGCGCCCCGGGGGCCTTCTCACCGGTTCTTTTCCTGGGAGCAAGTTATTTACTACTCTTAACTCAAACTGGGTAAAACCATATAAAAAAGGACTATAAAAACAGGAGTAAAAAAGTAACAGAGTTTATTCCAGATCAGGTCGTTACAGGACAGAGAAAAATGCTTAGAGCTTGCACAGCTGTGGTCTCAAAAATCACGTCCGCAAGCGTCCGGCAAAGTTTGAGCCCCAAAAACATGACTGTTAGGTTAATTGACTTGTCTAAATTCTCCTTAGGTGTGAGTGTGTGTGTGAATGGTTTGTTTTTCCTGTTTGTCTGTGTTGCCCTGCGATGGACTGGCGACCTGTCCAGGGTGTAACCCGCCTCTCGCCTATTGACTGATGGAGATAGGCACCAGCACCCCTCGCAACCCCATTCGGAACAAGCGTGTCAGATAATGGATGGATGGATGGATGGGTACTTAGTCCTAAAAAAAGACTACCAGAACTGACTGCTGCCCTGGAAGAGAAGAGAAGCTTATCCTGTTAGTCAAATACCTGAAATTAGGGACTCTTTTGCGGCTAAACTTTGTTCATAATTCCATAGTCACAGTGTGAATTAAGGTTTTAGAAGCAAAATTATTTTCTTTTTCTTTAGATGTTTTTGATGAACACATGGTGCTATGTGTAAAAGCACAAGTAAAACAAACAACAAAAAGAACCCAATAAACTTGTGCTTCATGGTCCTGCAGCAGGGGACAGTATAGTTCACCTCTTTTACTTCCTTGCCCTCTACTCCTTCTCCACCCTCCTCAACCGCTCCATCCATCCCTCTCCCCTCTCAGCTCTCTCGCTGTGAAAGCCTTTTTTTCTCCCTCTACCCACTGTGCCAGATAGGAGAGTGGTGAAGGAGCCGAAAGAAGAGTTGGAGGACAGGATTTGCCGTTCGGAAGAGAGAAGAAGGGGAGAGGGACCATGGCTACTCTCTCTGCCTTGCTGAAGACCTGGATAATCCTGCAAACCCTGTGCCTGGCTTTTGCCCAAGTGGTGAGTGGAAGGGAAAGGTTCTGATCATCTCGGATCAGTGCTGTAGAGGGATGAGGGCCTCTGAAAGGGGTCAGCAGGTTTTGGATGTCTCGTTGCTGTAACATTTTTGGATCCTTGTTTTCCAGTAGAAGTGATTGAGAAGTGATAAATAAACCAATAACATTAATCTCAGTTATTATTGAAAAGCTGATCCAGATCAAGGATTATTTTTTTCTTGTGCAAACAAAGCAAACTGGACTCTTCTTTGTGGATTATCAGCCTCAGGATGGATGGATCTTATATATTTAAAGCTGAAAATCTCAATTGCAGGATTGTTGAGGACAAGGGATCTTTTTTGCCTGTCCTACTACTTTTTTTGGGAATGTCTTTGATTTTTCAAGCAAACTTAGAAACCTCATGTGCTCAATGTGCTCAGAGCAAACTCACACTTTGCCTATAGGCTGTAAAAGATGCCTCTTTATCCTCATACCTACATCCACTCTGGACTTTCTGCGTTCTTTTCCACCTTAAATGATTGCAGTTTTATTTTGAAAGAATAAATATGTGAAAGAAAGGCTAAGGTTAAAATATGAGGGACTCAGGTGGGTCGGTGGGGGTAAACAATGCCCCTCTCATGGCTCCTCCCTTCAACATTCCTCCTTAATTCCTCCACTTGTTTCTCATTTTTAACTTTGACATGTTGTGTTTAATAACTATTGCTGATTACTATTCTTTTCCAAATGATCTTCTAAAGTGGTTCTGTGGCTATGATATACTTATTTAAGTAGGTAAGGAAGTGTTATGTTGTTTAGGACAGGTAAGCATGTTGAAGAATTCCCTATACAAAGATTTATCACTGTTTTGCACACATATGCATTTTAAGCATTTATGCATTATTATTTTGGATATGCTCTTCAAATTCATAAACTATTAAGGTATGATGGATTTTTTTTCCCTATAACATTACTATATTTCAAATCTATAAAACTTTTCATTTGTTTTTCTTTCTGTCTGTTTTCCAGAGGGGTCCACCTGGACCTCAGGGCCTACCAGGTCCTCCAGGCACTCCAGGCTCAGACGGCATTGATGTAAGTATCCTTCCGCACAGGTTTCCTCAGTACACATTCTCACAAAGATGTGTATTGTCCAGGAGAAATACCTGATGCTTGCTTAGCATACAGTACCAGAGTTTTACCAGCAGAGGGAGCTCTAAATGAAAACACACAGTCACAAAAGGGCTCTGTTCCATCCCAGAGAGGGGTCTTTCAGAAGCCAAATACTGAGTTTGTGTCACAGTAATGTGATACATTTGAGATATTTAAAGGCAGGTTGTGTGAATAAAGCTGAGTTTTCAGTGCAGCTCTGACTGGGGCAGGAAAACAGCCTGGTTGTGTGAAGTTAAATACTTTGAAATGCTGGTTCTAAAATGAAAAATACAAGTACAAATACAAATACAACTCTGCAGAACTAAAATGAATAAATGTTTTATAAAATTACCTGTTTCAGTTGTAATAACAGGCTTTCATTTTTTAATGAATTAAAAAAAAAGGTTAAGTTAGAGTTAAAGGACTTGTAGATTCTAAAGACATTGTATGGTTGATATTTCTATTTCTCATATTGATATAAAATGCTGAATATCAATTTTTATGACATATGGGTCCGAATCCCTGATTCATTTATGTAAATGCATGTATACTTTTTAATTTTATTTGAGCAGATAGGCAAGAATCAAAAAATAGTACATGTCAGATTTTCAGTTTGTGCTATAGGACTAACCTACCTGTGTGTCTCTGCAGGGAGATAAAGGACCTCCTGGCCCCACTGGTCCAGTAGTGAGTTTCCACAATTTTTCTAAATAACAATCTAATAATAGTTAATTTGCAGTAATTTTAAAGTGTAATTTTCATGATCATCAATTCTTTTTCTGTCTGTTTTATTGTAGGGACAAAAAGGAGAGCCAGGAGAGCCCGGCCCTGACGGACCTCCCGGAAAGAACGGCATTGATGTGAGTAATTGTTGTGGGAGAAGTGTTTTATAGGTGGGATGTAAAACATTTCATAAAAAAAATATATCACTCTTTTGAAATGTTAACACTGCAATGATTGTGAGGAAAATCTTGTATTATGAACTATTTATTTATTTTTATATAAATATATATATATATATTTAATATATTATATATTTTAAAAATATAACAAAACACTGTTTCAGTGTTACAAAATTATCTGGGTGGGCCCCATATGATATGAGTCTTATCGGGCTACCTTCAGTTTAACAGCTCCCTCCTCAACCCCGCTCTCTCCATTCATGTCCTGGTCGCTAATTCACTCACTGCAGCAGCAACGTCCACCTCTCCCTCTTTGGTTCTTTGAAAGAACTTGTTTATTTTGGGAAGTTTTTTCCATTCTTCCAGCAGCTCTTCTTTCCTTTTTCTTTTCTGGAATCCGCTTAAGTACCTCATTTTGGTATTAATTGTCTCTAACACATTTTACATAACGGTTATGTTTTTAATCTACGCTCTGAATTACCCACAATTCTAAGTCGTATTGTAAAAAATAAAATACTCAAATACATCGTTCTTTTAAGATCTTTATTGCGGTTTGAAACACATTATAGGAGTGTATTTTATTTATTTACCGGTATTTTTTTTTACCAACCCTCTAATGAACTATACACAGTTATTAACATAGTAATTAAAAGTACCACTGTCTGCTTTGCTATTGGTGTCGTGTTTAAACGGCTCACCATCATGTTGAAATCTGCCATGTGTTGAGGTATAAATAAGGTTCGGTCAGTTAATCTAGTATCAGAGGGTTTAAGAGGAATTTTTTGTACCATTACATTTGCAAAGAGACGTCCTAGTCAGCAATTGCGTAGGAGGCCTACCAGGTGTCAGTAACGGGGCCCCTAAGAGGTTGGGGGCCCCTAAGCAACTTCATGCTCTGCTTACCAATAGTTACGCCATTGCTCATCGCCTGTGATGAGATGCAAAGACTCTTTAGATATGCAGACCCAAACTAAAGCTAAAGCGCTTAGTAATTTAACATTTTATGTACACTATTACAGATACCAAAGTGATAATGCTATAATAATCTAAATACATTAAAGAAAATAAAATTTAACCTCTCTATTAAACTGATGTTGGTAGGTAATGTGTAGTCAAATGTGTTCTCCATCTAATCTGATTAAAATTAAAATGTTTTGCAAAGTCTGGGCCGATATTTGGCTCAAGCTGTGTAAAGCTAATATGTTGTAAAACATGACACAAATGCATGGCACACTTTCATAAGTAGATTTGTGATCATTTACTTAAAAACAAGTGTTACTTTCATTTCCATCCCCCAGTTATTGGCTACTTAATACATCTCTATGGCATGCAATCATAATAACATGACCATAGAATAGAATAATGAAAAAAGAAAAAAAAAACTTCAACAACATAAAAAAACTGCACCAACTACTGTGTACTAATGAAGTGCTCCATACATTGAAGCTTTTAGTGAGCTCAGACGGTGCTCTACACCAAAGCACTTGTTAAGAGGATAATTTTACTGCAGATCGGATTGACAGTAGTTGGACGTTAAAGTAAGGTTAAGAATTATAATACATTTCAAAAATAAAAACTGATCTCCGAAATATTAAATTGGTTTGTATCTACTTTATTGGCTGGGAGGATTACTATGTGTGAAATTGTTGTACCAATTCTCCAAACCGGTTTACATCATGTTTGGCTGCACTGATAAAAAAAACGATTTAATGTATAATCATTTACAAATAATTGGTTTAGTTATTTAAATGTGTGGCAGCTTCTGAGGTAGGTCATAGCAGCTCCCTCCTTCCCTGGCACGGACAGTTTGGTCTCATTACCAAAAGATCACATGCTAAAGAGAGCTCACCCATGCATGAGTTCTTCAGGGATTTACCCACTAATCTGCTCTGGAATCTCAAGCGCCTAACTCTAAAGTTTATTTCTCAGAAGGCTACCAGAATCGAGTCAGATTTAATCAATTGTGTGGCTAACCTAGTTGTAAGGTCATTTAAACCCCTTAGAAAGCACTGTGTAAGCAGAATGTTCCTTTGTGAATTTTTCTGTGTTTTACTGTCTTGACCTTACATAAAATAAATCTCTGTATTTTATGCCTTTCTTTCCATCTCCAGGGTTTGATTGGGGCAAAAGGTGACCGCGGACCAGTTGGTAACCCTGGCCCAAAGGCAAGTGTTTGAACAGTCAGCTAAATTGCATTTAGAAATACGACAGGACTACATCAATCCTGCAAATAAAAATCCAAGTGTTTAAAATGTCAAGTTCAAGGAAGAAAGAAAGAAGAAATATATGGCAGAAAGAAGAAATTGTTTATAGTTTAATACATTTATGAGAAAATGTTTTTAGATTTACATCGTGTTTGAGATAAAAAAAAACTGTATCTGCTCTGTACCAGATACTAAAATTAGATAAAACATAAGGCTTCTTGTACTGTGTTTATCTCGCTTGAACGTCTAATGTGTGGAGCCCTATCAAAGACACATTTCTATTCCTTAGTGATAGAAAAGTTTCCATTCTATTCTATTGTTTTCTATTTTATTATTCAATGGTCAGATAGACACATTAAGTCAAGATATTCAACAGGCATTTTGAAATTTCTTTTTAAATTCAAAAGTTAATATCGTCAAATTCAGTCAATTGATTTTACTCTATTAACTTTTCTTTAGCACTTGGATAAAAAGCTGAAAAATTGGCATTTTAAAGCATTAAAGATCATTACAAGCTGCAATTGTGCAATGTTGTTCTAAATGCCTTTGACATCTCCTTTGTAAAGCACTTTTCTATTATGTCAGTAAGAGAGATTTGCAACACCTTCACCTTATTTTAATCTAGCAAGCACCATCTAATGAATTACCTTTTTTTCTTTTTTTAATCTGATTTAATTTTAATACTGATGAACCTTGGAGTGGAAGAAGATGACTTTCATTTCACCACTAATTTCCCAATACACTCACTAAGGATATTGTACATTTTAACAAGGGTGTTAAAAAAAGCAATGTTAGGTATATTAGTAAGTTTAAAAATGTGGCACTTACAGTTTTTATTCAACTGTAAGTGCCACATTGTACTTACAGCATTGTAAAGGTTTGGAAGGGCCATGTCCTCCATGTTTTTTTTTTTTTTTTTATATATATATATATATCATTGTATATACTATGGTCTAAAGAACGCATGAGTTTATTTCTGTACATAAATGCTCTGCAAGTACAAAAACAATCCTGGATAGTTTTGGCAGATGTCCAACTAGAAAATCTATGAATTCTTTCACTGTTTCCTTCCAGTATATGTAGATCTTAGAAGGCTCATTTTTAACCCACCGATCATGTGACGTTCTTCCTTTGCAGGGTCAGCCAGGTCCAAGTGGTGAGCCTGGACGTCCAGTAAGTATCAATTTTTCATTGGCGGATTTGTCATCTAAAATTCCACACTACTGTAATGCTTATAAATGGAAATTAGAGCGAACTTTGTAATCTATGAATACTGCCTGCATGAATTTTAATGCAAAGTCTGTTTTATTGCGGGTAAACACAAATAACAAGTTAACCAATCAGAATAAAACAGCTCAATTAATTTAACTCTCTACTATGATGGGAACAAAGACATTCCTGAATTTCAAATTAGGCATCAGGATGGGACAGAAAATGGGATGTAATTGACTTTAAATGTGTCATGGTTTCGTTGCCAGAGGGGCTGATCTTTTTAATAAGATGCTGATTGACAGGGATTACCATGGTTCTGGTTTAAAGCTGGTTTCTTGAACAAAAGGGTGATTTAACTGCACTTTCTTTGCTTAGATATAAGACATTTAACATGTGGTGGAAAAAAGCGATTTAAATGGACATACAGCTGACCGATTAGAAGTCACATTTTTAAAAAATGCATCAGAATTGATGCAACAAATACTTAAAGCTTTTCTGGAAGGTAAGTGGAGTCCATGGTTTGTAGTAATTCTTTATCTGTAAAGTATGCTTGATAAAAATGAGTTTGAGTGGAGTTAAAAGTAGAGATAATTTAATGCATGCATAAAAGCTCACGATGTGTTTATGGTTCTGTTGCTGAAGGCAACAAAATAAATTCAGTACTATCAAACACATTTAAATTCCTTTTTCTAATCCATTTTCTTTTTGTTTCTCTTATAACTGATTAGAACAAATAATTCTTAAAGGTAGAACGATTGCCACCTAGTTTTACAGTTTGTCCATGGCATATAATTGTGACTCCGATTATTTACCTCAGACCTGATGTACCACTAATGGAAATGACCTGCATGCTAGGTATTGCACTGTGATGCTAAATGGCTGCACAGATGCTTCAAGTAGCATAACAAGATGTCTAATGTTTAATATCTTTAAAGTGTCTTTATTTAAACCTAATATTGTATACATGAATGTATTTATTTGCTGGACACAAAGAGTTTGATCAGTCAAGTTTCTTTACATAGGATTTAAAGACACATCACAGTATACCTTAGTAAAAACAGCTCATGTTTAAATTTGATTTTCCTCAGAGTAGTTTGTCAAATTTAACTTCTAACTCACTCTATTTTCAATGGTTGTTACTTTACATTAGTGTTCAGCTTTTGTAAATGAGAAAACTCTGTTATATGTTACTTAAGAAATGAGTTATGAGCGAGAGAATCAATCTGACATGTTAGTTCATGCAGAGCTGCTTTATTAACTAGCATATTGAATCTCAGCTGGTCTCATATAGCAACCTCCCTCGAAGACTTTGTTGTTTTTTTTTGCCCAAATGTCTAACCAGCTGTGTCTGCCCCATTTTAGCTCACTGAAGCCAGATGTGACATATGCTGCCTTGCATTTATAATAGAAAATATTCAAACACATTTTTACGCATATTAAAAAGAGCCATTCATTCAAACAAACCAGTGGAAATCCACATGTAAGACAGTCTGGAAGCACTAGGTGGTGCTCTGTGTCCATCTTTCTCACAGCCTCCAGCAGAAGTTTGATAATTCAATGTTATGCATGGGTGAAACACAATTAGTTAATCCTTTATTCAGCTTTATGGAGTGTCCTGTTTGGGGGGGCTGTGCTGATCATCCAGCTTTCTAAAGCTGCACTGATACAAAATCCTGCCCAATGGGCTAAATTACCTAAATTAGGGCCTGATTCCTACTTTAAATTGTTTATAGTTTGTTCTAAGTAAAAGACTAAGTATACAAATTTCCAGGCTTCTGTGTTTGTGCAACCTGTTGAGCTTGCATCAATACATTAAACATTTTGTTAATTAGATACTAACAAGTAATGATTCTACACTTCACAAATGATCTGGAAATAAGCAAAAAAATTTAAATTAATTATATTTAGCCTTAATTTGAGCAGGTAATTAAGAATATTTGCCAATGGGAATGAGTTTTTTGCTTTTAAAAAGAAGATCTTAATGCAATTTGTATTTCTTATTTCAAATGTAAATTGTCTTGTTCCATTGGAAAAGTGTCTCACTCACTTCCTCAATTCAAGAAAAAAGTCACTTATTTTAAGAAAAAATGACTTATTGAGTCAATTTTTGACTTAGACAAATTTTATCGTCATTTTGTATACCCAGATGGGTATACAAAACGAGATTTTGTTTTGTATACCCATTGTGTACAGCTTTCACAACTTTTCCATTCCATAAAGTGCAGCAGTAATCAAATGTAAACAGTTTGGGAGAAAAGACATGGTGCAAAAATACATTGATATGGAAGTTCACAACATTAATAGATATGGTGCAAATAGGTAGAATTTTGGTTTGCCATCAATCAGCGTGATGCAGAGTCTGTCACATGATTTTTGCTGAGTATTCATTAATTAGCCTTTTGAAACAGGGTGCTCTGATGGGTAATTCTATTTGGGTTTGAATTAAACCCCCTTACTCTTTCTTTCCACACAGGGAGTCGGTCTACCAGGTCTGGCTGTAAGTAGCATGAATACTTTTACAAAGAAAATGTTTGAAACTTTTAAGGCATTTTCTTTAAAATCATTTGAATTAAAGTGAAATAAAATTTAAATGCTCTTTAATATGCATCATCTACAGGGTGCACCAGGGCCAATTGGCCTTCCAGGTCAAATTGGACCACCTGGACCAAAGGTGAGAAGTCAGCTTTTAGCCAAGTATCTTCTGCAAGATCAACATTTGAATATGTTTTCTTTTTTTTTAAATATATATTACAATACAAAATACATAAAAAGCATGCTCTTGTCATATGCAACATGTCTCTCTGTGATTTATGGCAGATGAACAGTAGGGGTTTAACATAAATGAGTTAAGATGGAATCAAAGGTTTTCTATGAGCATAGTTAACATAGTCTTAAATTTTAACCAGTGCATTGCAAACACCTTATGTTAACAGCAGTTCATCACAACCAGTTCCAGGCCTCACAGAGGAATAGATTTTTCTTATTACCTCATACTGATGGTGGCGTTGAAAGCATTACTATGAGATTCTGGTGTCACAGTAGAATGGAAGGCTTTTCTCTTCTACTGTGGAAGCAGCAATACATCAAAACCAATTGCTGACCTTGCAGTATTATTAAAGGTTCATATTATTGCTTCAACCTTTTGCTACCAGCAACTCATAGCATTATTTTCCACACTTGCAGTTAAATAGCAGGTTCTGGGCCTTGTGGTTCCATCAGTGCTATCAACTAATCAGCACGCTTCCAGAGAAACAAAGAGCTCTCATTACTGTCTCCTACGGTAGTTAGAACACATAACAACAAACTGATGTCTGCAGCAGAAGATAAGCTTTTTCTTGCTGCATTTACATTGTGATAGCAATGAACTGCAACCATCTAGTAGTCGAATAAATAATTATTGTGATCATTCACCAGCTTGAGTTGTTAGGAAGGTATTTCAACCATTAAGCGGACCATAAGTAGAACGGAAACCGCTTTTAAATATCACCACCTTGAGGCTGCATGAGTTCATTACACCTAACTTTAGAGGAATGATTAAATGCCTACAGTAGAATTGCTATTTTATGGTTGTGCTGTTCTTTTTACATGTTGTTGCATATGATGAAGCAGACTGAAAATGTTTTATCATTATCTCTCTTCTATCTCCTCTTTCTTTCATCTTTTCCTTCCTGTTTTTCCTCTTCTGTTCTATTTACATTGCAGTGTCCATAAAATCTGTAAAACTCCCTGCATAATTATAATAAAGCAATTTATATGCATGAAACAAGTGGAAAACTATGGCAATAGCCGTACTGCTCCACTTGTGAAAGTAAAATCTGTTGGGCTCTTTTTGGCATTAACACAATTATTCTTATTGCCACATTGCCAGACAGGACACTGTTAGAAAAAAAAAAGAAAGAAATGCTATTTTATTATTACAGCGCTGAGTTTTAACCCCTTTTTTAATATTTGTAGCTATTTTTTTTAGATATTTAATCATAATTTTTTTTATCTCTAGTTAAAATAAATATCTATTTTTTTTTAAGATTCAGGGGTGTTTGAAATTTTCTATTTCCCTTCATGAGGTGTTTAATATTTTTATATATGTCTTTTTAATCTCTTTCTGTGTTCTATGCATGAAATTTCACCCGGGTTTCTCCAAAAATGATCATTATGGATTCAGACCAATAATAAAGATTGACTCTTGAGTTTATTTCCTGTTTTTGTTTTTATAGGGTGTTTTGGGACCACCAGGTGCTCCTGGACTCCCTGGACCTCCAGGCAAGCCAGTAAGTGTTTTTGTTTAAAAAAATGTTGATCTTTGGTTAAACAAAATAATTAAATTGAATCTGAAACAACAATTAAGTGGTAATACATTAAAATAAAATGATTCCAGTGAGTATGAATTGAGTTTTCATATACTGGTTGTTAAAAAATATAACAACATTTTTATGTACATAAAATAAACAGAAATTCTAACTAAAACAACTTGACCGTTTTGTGTCTAAAACGTATTATAAAATCAGTTTTTCATAAATCTGGAGCATTTTTCATTTGTTTGTTTTTTGTTTTTTTTTAACCTGTGGATAATTTGATTGTATTGTTAAGCTCCTATTATTCACACCCACAGCAGTTATAATTTTACCAAATGAAGTACAAGCACAATTAACCAAAAGGCTGATGACCAGCTTTTTGATCTTTTTGTATCTTTCTATTTGTAATCGGATGATTATTACTAACTGATCTCTGTTATCTTTAGATCCCTCCATAGAATGTTCCTCAGTTTTGAGTCAAAATAGCGACTGGGCCAAAACAAAGCACTAATATTATTATTAGCAAAAAATTACTTTCAATTTTATTTTTCCAGAGCCATGAGAGTTTTAGGCTTTACGATTTGCCAGCCCTTCCTTTTAGACGAACATTAGTTCTCTAATAGTGAGTTTTTGGCTAATCTACAAGTCAAATATTAACCACTGTGTTCTGCTTGGAACCACTTTAAATTTGAGAATTTCCTATTCCGGTGTACATTAGGTTTAATTAGGCTTATAGCTCATTCAGGCTAATTGAAAAAGCCTTATGTTACTGAATGGGATTACAGGGCAAAATTACAAGCCGTAACAAAGTGCTAAGATTGATGATTGTTTATTTAAGCAGAAGCAGCAGTTGATATGTTTGTTCTCTAAATGCATGAAAATACCTTGTGTACACACAGCGAGTTGTTTGTACAGGTCCCAGCAGACAGAAAGTGACGAGGCACCAGAAACTGTTGTGAGAGTGAGACTCTTTGGTGTGTGTGCTCCCCTGTGTGCGTCTCTGAGCCTCTTTAAGGAGGCGGGGGAAAGAGGGCTGCGGGGAGGAGGATGAGGGAGTTGGGCAGATGCAAGTGTCTTCACCTAGAAAGATGTCCCTTGCCCTGGGGAGAGTATTTGTTTAACTTTAGTGCTTTTCTAGGACAAATAAACCCCTATTATATCAGTGTAGTGTCTCATCTGACTTCACCAGTAATACATAAGTCTCTAGAGATTCTACAGTTCTTAAGTTAATCTAGAAGCTGAGAGATGGAAAGATAGAGAGATGAATTGCTAGAAATAATGGGCAGAGTGCTGACTTGGCACTGGAGAGAAAAGGTAACTCTTTGCCAGCTGAAGCCAGCAGACTTCCCTCATCATGTGTCCAAATGTTTGCCCAGGGTCCCCCAGGGAAGTTTATTGGTCTTGACGAAGGCAGTGCAGACTTGCAGGTAAACATTTTCACATCTAGTTCCTCAATATTTTTTGCAATATTTCACTTTTGCTTTTTTTTTTTTTTTTCTTTAAAGAAAAATGAACTTTCATCTATATTTTTTCATCTCACCAACAGTGTCCTCTCAACTGCCCAGCAGGACCTAAAGGCCCCCAGGGACTGCAGGGTGTGAAAGTAAGGTTTTTGTCTTATTATTTTCTGATATTAACTTTGCTGCAGCAGCATCCTGAATATGTACTGCTCTCTAGGGACACAAAGGACGCGCTGGTGCTCTTGGAGATCCTGGCAGCATAGGGCAACTGGTGAGCCGCACGCTACACAAGTACCTATGCATGTTTATGTTTTGCAGTGTTTCACACTCAGTCGCTGCTGAGAATCACAGGAGGCAGGGATTAGTTCTAATGAAGCCCCTTGAGGCACATGACTGCACTAATCTGGCTGCGATTAGTCAGGCTGGCCCCCAAACCTGCATTCTGCATGCAGTGTGCCAGATGAAAGTGGTGGTGAGGAGCCAGGTACATGAAGGAAAGGATGAGAGAGTCAAGGTTCACACAGACCTCTCACCTCATCGTTTTAAGCAGAGGTAATGAGCAGACTGAGGGCTCCTAGGGAGCAGCTAGCTGAGTCCGAGGACTTAGCCTCTGATCTTCCCACACAATGAACCTTCTGGCTGTGCTTAGATGCTAAAAAAACACTCAGCTCACCCTGTAACCACTCCACACAAGCTCAGCCAGGATTTCAGAGGGTCTGCCTTGACTCAAGGTTGCGCTGTCTTTTCTTCCTCTTAAAGACACCCGCCAGGAGCTGTTAACATCTCCAGCAGCTGCTCAGACTAAGACTCAGATGTTAGCTGAGGAGAAATGTTTCACTTCCTGCATGCTAAATCACTTCTAGATAAAAGAATGAGAAGGCCTCTTATCTTTATCTCTTCAACAGCAGTTAACGTTTTGGATAGAACACATTTGTATTATTGTTGGACAACTGTTTTAACACAGCTGACTAAAGATTAAAATATTCATTCAAGACAGCACCTCTTACATATACGGGTATTATGTGGTATTTTACGTCTAGATATGACTTCAACCTAAAAAATGAGCTGACAATCTCAATGATAACTCTCTAAGAAAACAAACAAACTGCTACCACATGGAAGCTAATTTACTTTTCTTAAGTACTTTTGCAAGCAATTAGGTAATCAAGTGACTCCTGATTGTTTTACTCACTGATGCTCCTTTCTATATTAATAAAAAAAAAAAGATTTTTTTTTTATATAAAGTTGATTAATTTGAGAAACTCCTTTTATAAAGTAAATCAAACTGCATGCATTAATGAGACATAAACTGATGTTTCCATGCCTATTTTGTTTATTATCAGGATTTTTTTTACCTAAAGTTAATGAAAAAATACCACTCAACTTTAAAACATGATATCTAAGCCAGTGCTTTTAGTGGGACGATATGCAATGGTATGCAATCCCATCAATTTAAAATGTTACCCCTTAGCATACTGGGACTTTTCTCCACCATGCAGCACTTATAGAACTTCTAATCCCATCTCCACTCTGCCCCATCTCCCACCTCCTGCACCCCGTCTCCCAACCTCTTGTAGCTGATGCACTGATAAAAAAAATTGATCCGAAGAACCCATTTTTTAGGTAAAACACTTTTTTAGTGCATTCATGAGTCTGTAAGAGTTTCAGATAAGTGAGGAAAAGTGGAGGAAAATGATGATGGCTGTGATGCCTAGCTGCCTCTTAAAGGACTCAAACGAACTGGAGCAGAGTTGAAGGATAACAGCATGACTGTCATGTAACATGACATATATTTTTAGTTGTTCTTATAAAAAAATAATCAGCTTTACACTTTTTTTCTGAATTTATACCATGATTATTATAATTATGATTTTTCACAAGCCTAAGTTTTGGTGCCCCTCTGATGGCACCCTGGAAACTGTGCCTGCCATCAGACTGCTGAATGTTGTTTCAAGTGGGATTAAAAAAAAAAAAGCTATGAATGTTGAAAACTAAATCATATACCAGTTTTATGTTTACATTTTATCACTGCTGCCTACATTTTATCACCTGCTGCACTTTAAAAATGGTAATGTATTGAGAGCTGCAGTGATGGAAATTTCTTTTTGTATACACTCTTTGTACAAAATGACACTTAAGTCTGTCTAAGTCTAAGTGTGTGAGACGTGTAAGGAAAATGGCATGGGCTCGTTAAGGCCAGGAAGGTTTCATAGCATTTTTTGATTTTCCTCTTTAACTTTAGCTGCCATTAAAAATAAATTAAAAATTTTGTTTGTTTTACTTAGAATACTCAACAGCATTGAAAACATGTACATTACAGAGTGTGGATGATAATGCAGTCTCTGTAAAAACAGTTTTATGAAAGAAAATGTCTAAATAAGTTTCATATATTCATATATCCATCTCATAAGGGGCTGGCAGCCAGTAAGCAGTCTATGGGTGAAAGGTGTGGTACAGTTTGGACAGATCAGTGCCCCATCGCAGGGCAAACGAGAAACTAATACAGTTTGATTACCCATGTGATTCTTCAGGGATTAATTATCAAATAGGGGTAAAAAAAAATTTTTCAAAGCCAATTTAATCTTTTTTTTTCTTCTGAAAAGATTCCAAAAGATTCCAAAATTTGCTATAGTATGCATGCTTAAAACAACTAACCTTTGAAGGGGAGCATTAAGGTTTTCCATTTGCAGTCATAGAAATCTGATGATCACATGATTGATGCAAAGAGTGGTTGTAAACCCTGTGTGGCAAATGACAATAGTGAATCACTTAGCAGAGCAGTAAGGTATAAATCAGGCATTAGTAACTTTAACTGCTAAGAGTTGTTAGTGTGAATATACTGAGCATTGTTTTCAAATAGTTCTTAGATGTAGAATTATTTTTTTTTTTTGCTTCTTCTACTGTATTACAGAAAACAGCCAAAAAATTGCAGGGACAAAAGTAAATACTCTTAAATATCAACACATCCTAATTTGTTAAAGAATTCTGTTTTATTATCTGCTTAATTTTTACTCAAAATTGAAAAATTTAAAGTTCAAAGTTGCAGAAATTAACCGAAAGTTCTATAAAATTTCAAATTCAAAGTGTAAAAGAGAGAAGTCTCTCAGCTACCTCACCTCAAAATCCAATATGGCTGACTAGCAGGTAGAAATGCTTACTAAGAAAACTAACTACACTTCTAAATAAATTGTTGAATCCAAGGAAAACTAACTTTGAGTGTCCCTTCTTCACTGAAGATCTGTAATTAGTATTTACCCATTAATTACATAAACAATACAACTTCATATGATCTTGTTCTTTGAAATAATAGTGTTAAAACATTATTAAAATAACACTGACACATATTTAGAGGCATAATAAAATCTTTAAAATTATTCAGCAGAGGTTAACTATCTAAGATTTACAAACGCTGTTTGTTAAAGAGCATATATAATATAAAAACCAAATTTAAAGCTGGGAATGTAGTTAAAGGTTGGTCAATCAGATTCCAGTGCATAACAACAACTACCAATATTTAAGTTAAATTTCCCCTCTGGAAATTTCACAGTAGAACAGCTCTGACCCCTTTTAACTCCAACCCATTTTCCATTTACTAGCAATGTAGCTTGAATACCATGTGTTTGTAGGGGAAATCGGGATGTGTGAGGGCAAATTTGGATTGGTCCATTAATTTTTGATTAGCTTGCTCTGGCTGGCTAATTAGCTTCAGCTCGAACTCTATCAAGCTTGACTCAGCCAATACAAAGTATGCAACCATCAAAGGTTGGTTAGCGCATCTAAAGCAACCTAAAAGTGCCTTCAAAAGTATTTTCTCTCAGTTTTGAAGTTTTTTTTAGGTGAAATATCATGGAAAGAAAATATAAATGTTTCTTTAAAGTTTAGGAAAATGTGCTGCCTAGTAACAATCTCAGTTTTCTCTTTCTTCAACAGGGACCTAAGGGAGATATTGGTATTTCCGGGGAACAGGGCATCCCAGGACCCCCGGTAGGCTGCACAATTTACACTAGTTAACTGACATGATTTTTTTTCAACTTATAATAACATCTTAATTTACCAAAACTCACATGAACATGAACTCACATTCATGTTAAAATGCAACTCTCTGTCTAAATGTATACCATTCTCTTTAGGGTCCAATCGGTTTGAGGGGCTATCCAGGAATGATGGGTCCTAAAGGAGAGGCAGTAAGTTCCATGTTTTGTTTCTTCAGTTCAGATGCAGCCTTATCATTTGTTTATTCTGTGGAATCATTGCGATTCTAATTCTGCACCAAGAAGGCAGAACCAGGCCCAACACCTCTACACAAACACCATCCATTAGCAGCAATGGGGACATATGGAAATGATGCTAACACAAATCTTTCTCCTTCTCTAATGACTTGGGGTTGTCCGGGTCCACGGTGACTCCATCTGTAGTTAATGATCCACTGTAGCCATCCATCTTTCTGTTAACATTAGCTGAGTTAGCCAAGTTAGCATTTCGGCTACGAGCCAAAATAAGAGTGGCTGGCTCTCTGTGGTGTTCCCATTAGCGAAGTGAGTTAAGCACTAATTGTCCCTTTATCACAATAAATAATAGACTTCTTCAGCTTTACTCTTACTCTGATCTCAGTTGATTGATGGCGCTTTGTTGTTCTCTCTGCCAGGGTCCGCGTGGATACAAGGGCATTGTAGGACCTGTAGGAATTCCTGGACCTCCTGTGAGAAGATCCTCACACTCACACCCACTCCCACGTATTTGAAAATGAGGTTCAAAATAGTCTACACGTCTCACTTCTCTTGCAGGGAGAGGAGGGACCCCAGGGGGCACTTGGAGACTCAGGAGAAAAAGGAGACAAAGTTGGTGAAACCTCTTAAACTAATTACCAAACACAAATATCATTCGGGAAAACTTGACTGGATTTTGTGATTCTGCTCTTGGCACTGGCATTGTGAAAATACTGAAAAAAAAACCTTTTTGCTGTAGGGCGGGCGAGGAATCCAGGGTCCACAGGGGGCAGTTGGCAAAAAGGGGGAGAATGTGAGTTAAAGCTTTGCTTATTTTGTTCATTGATTTTTGAAAAAAAATAGGCCAAAGTCCTTTAAATCATCTACATGCTATTCCAGGGTCTTCCAGGTATTGATGGAAAAGATGGAACACCAGGCATTCCTGGAATCAAGGTAAGCTTGCACCTGCGTCTGTAATGATCAAGATCTGGATTAAAGATGCATGTTTACCCTTTTTTATGCTCTATTTTATGCAGGGTTCTCCTGGCCAACCCGGAATGCCTGGCCCCCCTGGTCCTCAGGGGACAGCAGTGAGTGATATTTCCTTATGGTGTCATCCAAATGTTAACATGTACCAGAAACCCTTTCTTGATCTTTCATTTTACACCATCAAATTTCCATGGTTTTTTTTCTTAGAATGTTATCTGCTCAAGAATATAATCTTATATTCTTTACAAGAATAGCTGATCAGTCTGATGGGTTGGATAGAGGTGAATACTATAGAGATATTCTGTAGGAAGAAATCATGTTTGGTGTAGCCAGAACCGTAACGTGGAAATGTACGTTCAAGCATCAAAATAACACTAAATATATATAGCTGCACAGCTAGTTTACTGTAAATAATAAAGCACATGTTAAAATTCAAAGCCCAAATAATGGGCTTCAAAGTCTAGTCCTCAAGGGCTCCCATCCTGCTACTTTTAGATGCATCTCTTCTTTAGTCTAACGGCTGAATTCCCTCAGCATACAGACTGATTCAGAATAGTGAAAATCGGTGAAGACATAAGGACACTTTAAGTGGAAATGCATCAGCGGTCACCATGACAAGTGTCAGACAAACAGTTCTGGCAGTAAAGGAGGTAGGAAAAGGAAGCACAATGCTTCCTGTTGATGGTCCATTTAGTATAGGAATCTTCTTAATGTCCTTCTCTCACATGCAAGCTATGAGTTTGCTTACAATCCTTTTTGTGACAGAATGTGTAGGTACAGTCCATCTTGTGGAGCTAAATAAAGATAGATTTTTTCATGACATGTACTATGGTTGACACATGCAAATGCATCTTCTTATATTTTGGGTTCTATAAGAGAGATATTCTTCCATTCCAGGCTTTTGTGTAACTTCATCACCCATGTATGTTTCCATCAAATTATAATGTATGTAAGGCTAAAGGCGTTCCTGATTTAACAGAGCAGCCCAGAGTTTCTTTTCTACCCAGAATAGTGTCCTTAGTGTTGATGCTGCAAAAGATGAAGGGATATGAGCAAGGATCAGGAGCTAAGAGCCACAATTGGCCCTGTTTGGAATCAGCCTCAGCTGTGCAGAGTTCGGGTAACAAGCTACTAATATAATTCAGGTTTTTTGGAGATGGGATGCATCTTAAAGTTGTATCTAAAAGCATATGTCCTATAAGCATTGCTATCTCACTGAAGTATTTGGCAAATTTAGTTGAAATTTGTAATTGTTAATGAATGCTGAGCAACAGAAATGTATAAGTTTGTACTCCAGACTTTATATACTTGTTGTAACTCAACTTGTTGACGTACAGCACATAGGCCTACTTTTCTTCTCAGCTGGGGAAAAGAGGCAATGGAAAATAAAGAACAATAGGTCGAAGTAAATCATTATATTTTGAACTTCAGCTCTGTTTTGTGGGCAGTCATCCAAGGTAACAGAGACCCTTTGATCCTCTCGGTTTTAAAATACAAACCACCTTGAAATGGCAATCCCCTGCCTCAGCAGACTATTTATCACTATGAAACTAGTGGGAGACACAAACGTGCATGTTTGTGTGTGCAGGCATGTGTGTCCTTGAATTATTTTGACTAAGGGGTAATGGAGCATGAGATGCACACTCTACTGTGTGAGTACTGATGTGAAGCTTAGGTTGCAACAAACTCAAGTAGTGGAACTTAGCCTGTTTTTTCATTTTTTATTTTTTTTTCATACACTTAAAAACAAACACACACATACTGGGAAAAAAAGCCTTTAGCCCTGGCTCTTAAAGGTTGCTTTATTTTCTCATCAGAAATATCTGCAGCCATATTGACAGAAGTATTGCTTGCACTGTAAGTTATACTCTCTACAAATTATAAATCTGTATTAATCCTGCCTTTAGGGCTTACCTGGTACACCAGGGGCAAAGGGAGAACCTGGAGTAAAGGTATCATTTTGATATTCTAAATTGATATTCTAAACTTACAACATATTTCTTCATATTTCTGTTTTATATTTTTTACTGCATTCTGTTTACCTTACAGGGGGAAACTGGACCGAGAGGTCCTGTTGGCATGCCTGGTACACCTGGTCCTTTGGTAAGCATGGGGAACATTTTTAGGAATCATTTTCAGAATATTAAGCTTAAATTTGATACAACCTCGAGAAAATCTTTATTTCTTGTATCACTGTTAGGGTGAACCAGGTATTCCTGGAGAGCCAGGTATGGCAGGAGTCCCTGGACCTAAGGTAAAAATTAGTAATGTCAATAATAGTAATAATTGTTATCATAATTTCCATAGTGGCATGATTGTAAGTTAGACATTCAGTATATTTTTATTTCAATAAGTGCTTTAAATTTTTGTCCCTATATAATATAAAATTTGATATGAATTGATAAATAATCATATAATCCAAACGTAACTTACTTAGGACAGACAGCTGACTTTAAACTACTTCTGCAGGGTGACAGAGGAGAGCGGGGACCAGTAGGATCACAGGGACCAGTTGGCAAGCCTGTGCGTTTCTTTGTCTTAATTTATTTATTTATTTATTTTTTCATAATTTTTGTGAACATAAATATGGGGTGAATATTGAACACCATGTTTATATTTCTCAACAGGGAAGCAAAGGAGAAAGAGGGCCAATTGGTATCCCTGGTCCACAGGGACTTACTGGAACTAAGGGTGATCGGGTCTGTGAGCAATTTTTAAAAATCAAAATACACATGCAATATTAGCCATAAAATTGCATAAACATAATGCATATTGTAAAGATCTTGTACAATGATGTAGTTTAGCAGACCTGTCCATTGGGGGCAGTATTTACCTATGAGAAAACTTAAATGAGGTTCACTGTAGATCATTGAATAAGGCAAGCAATATAAATGTTAATCCAAGTATCCTCATCTTCCTTGTTTCGGAGGTGAGACAACATTTTTCTTTCCCCCAATCTGTGATGTCAGTGGCCTCAATCAATATTTAGTTTTTGTGTATTTCGATGGAGAATATACTGTATTCTAAATGTGTCCATATCTCTCCTACCAGGGGTTTCAAGGAAAAGTTGGTCCAAAGGGAGATGTGGTAAGTAGAACTTCCTGCTTCTTTTTAAATTGTTGGTTAAAGAAAACTAAGCGCTCACAAAATAATTTCCCTTCATGCATCATGCTTTCTTCTGCTCCTAATATTTTTCTCTCGGTTATATAAAGGGCGACCCAGGCGTTGAGGGATTGGCTGGTGAGAAGGGTGAAAAGGTAAAGATGGTTAAAGCACAAAGTAAAGCTATTTCAAGCTTCTTGTTGAGAGAACCACAACAAAGTCTTTAAAAAGTGCATTTTCTTTCTTAAGATAAGAAGTTTTATACAAAGTTGTTGGCTGAGGCAGAGTGATGTATAGCAAAAAAAATTAGAAACCCATTCAGAATTAGAGAAAGTTGGAATTTAAATTTTAAATTCAAATGCACATAATAATATAATATAAATTCCAGATAGCAAGAGAACTATCTTTGTAACAAGGTAGCAGCAATTCAAACCAAGACAAAGTTAGATTTTTTTTAAATTCATCAAATTCTTTGGCCAGTAGTGTCATGAACCAAGGACAGAGGGACCCAGTATTCAAGGAGAGACAGTCAGTGGGAAAGTTCAAAACGTTTATTAAATAAACAAAACAACAGCGGAGCTGTGGCTTGCGGACACTGCAGGATGGGGAGCGGGGCACTGCTCAATCACAGACACTCTGGTTTAACAGTCCAGACCAAGAATGTCCCCAAGAGCTGCAGTCCCAGAGGACATGCTGGAAGCTGATCCTGGTCAGGGATCCAGAACAAACAGGAACAGACAGAAACAGGATCAAGATCAGGCAGGAAAAGGTGGCAGGATCCAGACTTCCAGGCATCCACAAGCTCCCAGGAGGGTTCAGAGTCTGACTGGGACCAGAAGCATGACCAGGTGGTCACGCACAGGAGCAGACAGGATCAGGTGCAGACAGGCAGGCTCAGTGGAAGAGGATAGCCGAGACAGGACGTGGAACCGGAACTTGAAGCAGGACTTTAAACTGGTCTCCTCCCTGGAGCCAGGCTTACTGGATAAAAACTAAACCTCCCCACATATTGAGCCAAAAACCCAGAGGACTCCGCAGGGGAGGAACAGTGGACGATCAGGAGACGAGACAAACACAAAAATCCTCTTTCCACTGGCTGCCAGTATCCAGGACATGAACCATAAAATAAAACTGAACAGATAGACTAACAAAAGACAAGTAATGATCTGGCACTGAATGCTCAGGCTGAACTGAAGATAAACCAGAGGAAACAGGTGAGAGGAATAAATTATAATTGAGGCAGGGAGGGAAAACAGGTGAAAGGAATTTACTAATTAAGGAGGAGCAAACAGGCCAGATCATGACAAGTAGTACACTCCTCAGCTAAAGTACGCATTTCTTCTGAAATATCATCATTTTCAAACAAATTTACAAACTGTTATAATGGGATTATATTTGGTCCAGTAAAATTTCATTAAATGATACGCTTAATCAGGTTTGATTCTTTACAATATCTTGTTTAAGTGAGCTAGCAGATATGAGGATACCTATTAAATTACATTTCTTCATAATTCGGTATACAAAATGTATTGAGTATATAGTATGAGAAAACTGTAATGACCAGAAAACAGACGACCCAGAATTCAACCAGAACAACAAGGGATGTCTTTTACATTTGATTGTAATGTGAAGCTGCCGCTGGTCGATAGGGCTTCACCAGAGTCAGCAACCAGAACTTCTGGAAGGATGTTGGACAGCTGAGTGCCCAGACAGAAACAGAGGGAGATGTTTCTAATGTTGAATTATGGCTCACTAGCCTTCTCTGTGTTTTAGAACAGGCTTTGAGAGTTTATGAGGATGTCAGTTGGCGTGTGACATCACTAATGAACCTTCTGGATGGATTCCAGAATCCATCCGGAAGGATTTGAAGGAATCCTTCCTTGAAAGTATATCATTGGTCTAAGGTAACATACAGGGTCAGATCCGTGAGAGCAGAGTCAGACATTAAGATCAAGGGGCAAATCAGACTTCTGGGTCTGAGAAGATGTCCAAAGTCAAGACCAGGTGATCTGAGAACCAGAGACAATCCAGGGGAGAATCCAAGAGCGAGGTCAGGGCACCTATTCAAAAACTTATGACAAGTCCATAGGTTTTAGGCAGGCTTGGAGAATCGGGAGGGAAGCAAAGGGAGTGTGGCGTAGAGGTTAGGGCATTGCAATTGGAATCCAGAGGGTCTGAGTTCAAGCTCCACTCCCACAGACAGACACTCTTGGTCCCTGAGCAAGACTCTTAACCCCACACTGCTCCCGGGGTGCCACACAATGGCAGCCCACTGTAACCCCAAGGGGTAGTTAAACGCAGAGAATTCAGTTTGTTGCTCTGTACTTGTGACAGTGTAATGACAATAAAAACCTGAAAAAAGGAGGCAGAATCAGGCAGGCATTTAACAACAACACTGAATTAAACTCACCAGTGGCTCATAATATTTTGGAACTAGTGACTGTTCTGAGAACAGGTTATATATACATTTGAGCTGGTGAATCACATATATTTGGAAATGTGAACAGCAATGCAAAAATAAATCGGATTTCACAGAAAATTGTGAACGTAGCCTTGGTCAATTTGCAGCAGCTGTCCGTTGGGCATGAGCAATGATGGTGGCTTCCATGATGGTTTCCTCTTTGATGTGAACACCATCGCAGATTCACATAAAGAGAAAGATATCCTCTGAATTTATGTCCTCAAACACTGTAGGGTGTGGGTCTCCATGTCTGTAAGAGGGAGGAGGGGAGGCAGGAGCTCTGCACCAGTAAGATTTGTTTTAGCCAAATGTATCCTCCCAACTCAATGTCCAAAATTAATGATTTGAGTTCACCTGAATGCCATGGAATAGATAAACTTGTCAACAAGACGCATATAAGCGGAGTAAGTAATAAAATAGCACCCTTTCCTTGAAAATCTGACAAAAAACAAAACATTTGAAAAGGATGCATATGGCAGATCTGCAAGTCTGAAAAAAAGACATTACACTCAAGCTAAACTTAGAGGCTGCGGCAAAAGGAAATAATCCCTGTGCTAAAGCCACACAACTTGAATTTTAATGATTATTTACCCATTCCCTGCAAACCGACTGACCGACTGTTTCCCTTCTCTTTACTTTGATGTTTTTTCATGTAGTATGAAATTTCAGTAAAAACATTTGTGCACTGCAAAATGTTGTTGGGAGGTTTTTAAATCTTATGCAGGGCTAGTTCAAGTTATGACTCTGACTTGGTCATGTTCTTTATGTATGCAGGGTTTGTCTGGTGAGCCTGGGCCCAAAGGACAGGTGAGTGTATTACATGACTAGTAGTCTGTTTTGTTGACTTTTCATCAATCTATACTTCTGAGCAGGGCCTGAAGTTAACTTTTTTGCCCACTGGTCATTGTGATTTATTAATTTTTTTATTATACAAATGTTTTTAAGCCTGACATAGAGGTGAACAGATCAGAATGGTTTAGAATGATTCTTGAACTTGTACAGAATAAACATTAAATTGCTGTGCGGTTATTAACCAACTAAATCTTGTTTGTGACTAGACCTCTATAATTTCAACTGTATCTGACCCAGTGTGACTAGCATTTATAACAGAAAATAGCAGAAATAAAAACACAATGGTCTCCTTTTTTAGCTAACAACCAGCTGCGCATCTAATTACCCATGCATCTTTGTCATTGTTCGTAATGAGGTTCAACTCTTTTTTTTTTCTTTTTTTTTCAGATTTTTATATTACATCAATTTCAAAATAGGATTGATAACATTGTACATGTTATAAGTTTATTTTGCTATTCAAGACAAGTCTAATATTCTGATTAAATAATGTTTCGGTAAGCAAACATAATTAGATCATTGGCAGAATTCAAACCATATTTCACTGTAATGCCATGGTCAGGCAACGATTGGAAAACCCTTTCACAGAGCGCAGACTGAGGGTTCTGAGTTCTCAAATGATAGGAGCAGACACTCCCCACTGATTTCTCCACTTCCTGGGTTTTCCACAGCATCTGGTCTGATCTCACTTTCTTTGAGCCGTACATACAGCGATTCTGACAGCGCATCTTGTTTGTTGTGAGAACAGCCAGCCGTAAACCTTGCCAATGCTTTCCACCTCACATAAAAAAAAAAAAAATCATCTATTTTAAACTGTCCTCATCTTTCTTTTGGTCAGTCACAGCCTGTGGCTTCTTCATGGCAGCTATATGTCGCCACATTTTGTTTAAAAAATCTAAAAACAGAGCAAGGCTTGCTTAATAAAACAACACTTTGGTGTGTCAATTTTATACCCTGCTTCTGAGTGTTCTTTTCTTTACAGCAAGGAATTAGGGGAGACACTGGACACAATGGACCCACTGGAGACCCTGGTAAACCAGGGGACCCCGGACCCCCTGGACTGCCAGGTCCAAGGGGACTTAATGGAGAGAGAGGAGTACCCGGCATGCCAGGAATTGAAGGACCAGCTGTAAGTTTGGTTTATATCTTTCAGTTTAATGCGGTTAATGAGATGCTGAGGCTTTTTTTTTCATCTTTCTAGGGCCGTGACCCATCTGACCAACATATTATTGAAGTGGTGCTGAAGATGTTGCAGGGTGAGCATCAGTACCTGATAATACATGTTTGATGTCTGTAGGATAGATTGGCTCATTTCTTGAAAAGGGCTTTCATCTACTGAGCAGTCAGTTGTTAGCATCAAAGAATGATTTTTGCTGTTTTCTGGTACAGAGAGGCTCCAAGCAGTAACAGTAAGTTCCAAGAGGGCTGTGCTTGGTGGTGCGGGTGTAATGGGTCCTCCTGGGCCCCCTGGGCCACCAGGAGCACCTGGTCCTCAGGGGCCACATGGCCTACCTGGCCCCCGTGGTATTCCTGGCATGATTGGAGGACCTGGGCAGATTGGAAACACGGGTCTAAAAGGTAAAACTAATCTACATTGGATTTCCTGTTTACATATTTCCTATATGTTATGCTTATGTCTGTTATATCTTCTTCTCTTCCCAGGAAAGAGAGGGCCAAAAGGACAGAGAGGAGATCCAGGTAAACCTCACCCAGGTCAACCAGGACCTCCTGGGATACAAGGTAAAAAAGTCCTTTTCTAAGTTCTACTTATCTAGTTATAGTTAACTGTTTGTTTCCCAGACATAGCCACCTATAGAGCCAATTTACCATTACCTTTACTAAAGTATGCTATATGCAATGGAAAAACAGTATTTATGGATCAGTGCTTTTAAACTTCCAGTCAGCCTCAGCAGAGGGCTGCTACCTTTGAATCTGCTTTTGCTTATCAATACATTTTTGTTATTCAATAACTACTTGAAAGCAGTGTGAAAATCTCCCTTGTTAATATGAAATAGACTTCTAAGCATAGATAGAAACTATAAAAAGCAGCCACTACCCATTTATCACCTCTTGAATAGGAATTTGCAATGCTTCTATTAGTTGTTATGAAAACAGTCTTAAAAGGATTATAATTTAAAATGAAGTGTCTAGGTTTTGTGTTTGCTTTTGAGTCATGGAAGCAAACCAATTTGCGAACAAATGCAACCTCTTTCTGTGAAGGTTTTATTATACTGCATTTAGGTATTTGCTCATTGGAACAAAAAATAGTATTTTTTTTTTTTCGGAAATAAATTTCAGAAGCAAATCCAATAACATATCTGTGAAGATTCTCAGTCGTTCAGGTCATCGTCAAGTTTGAAAAAGTTCAGTCTAGGAAACTGGATGCACATTTTTTTAGAATTTCTCATCTCATCCAAGAGGCTTCTTCAGTTCTAACTAGTGGTGGGGAGCCATCAGAACCTCCTGGCAACCATTAACACCCCACAATGTGTCCAATGCGGCCACTCCAGTGGGAGGGATCAAAGCCACCTTTTGTACCCCCTAATTCTTTGTTAGACCCACAGTATATAAGCTTAGTGCTCCCCACAACTAGTTAGAACTGAAGAAGCCTCTTGGATGAGAGGCGAAACATCTGCTAGAAAATGTCACGTCCAGTTGCCTAAACTGAGATTTTTCAAGCCAAATCCAATAAATTATCTTAAGCAAAAAAAAAAATCAAAGTTATTTAGAACATATGTAACAATAATAATAAATTTTACTTACATTTTCTTTATTGTTTTTCTGCTAAATTTTGATAAGGACAATGCTCTTAAGAAGCTGCCACGGGATATGAATATTTTAAATTTGATATTTTTTCTAGAATCAGCACAACAGTTTTTGATAGTTTTTAGCCTTTTTAACCACGCAGAATTATTTTCCACAAATGTTCTTCAACATGGCACCTGTCTACTGCAGGGTTTGCATCTATAACTGACAATTCCCTAAAACATGCTCAAAGAAGGCTGAGTGCAGTGTGAACAAAGTCAATTATGTCTGAATCGTGTCCAGATCATAAAAAAATCCAAATCTCAAGCTGTTATCCTAAATTATTTTGTCATTTCTTCAAGATAAACATCTTCTCCCAAAGAATTATTCTATATTTTCTAACAGGATTATCAGCAGTCTAAATTTATTCCACTGTACTCTGAAGATGGATTTTCCAAATGTATATTACTCATCTACGACCTGTTCTATCAATTAGTGATTCTGTGAGGATTCATTACTTTCAATTTTTTTCAATACGAATTGCAGAAAAGTTTGAATTCAGTTAGATTTCCGTCAAGGGAAAAATTTCCATGTCATGGTTCATAGTTCATATTTATTTATTCACAGTATTTTTAGCTGCAGCAACCTTTTCACCTTAGTACTACATAAAAGCACATTTGCACTGTGTATACTGTGGCCTTTTATTTACAATTTAAAATGTCTCTTAAAAAATTAATTGCACAAGGGAACCAGTGGTAAAGAAGATAAAGGAGACAATAAGGCAAGTAAAGGAGTTGACATTATGTCATTTGCTAATAGATAGGATCCTAAAAGGCATTTTAAAGGCATCATTAACTCCAGCACTATAACAGAAGCTCTTGATCGGGATGTGAGAAGATTGCAATGGTACAAACTAATTCAAGTTAAAGGACATTTACTCCGTTCTGCTAAGATAACCACAAGTTAAATGTATAAATGTATTCCCTTATTAATTTGATCACTGTATCTGTTTGGGTTTCAGTCATCAACATGCAAACCACTCAAGATATTTTTTCCTAATCTTCTGCATTAACAGGTCCTCCTGGTGTTGATGGTGTTGCTCGAAATGGTAGGCATGGTGAAAGAGGACCTCAGGGAGCAGCAGGCGAGCCAGGTCGTCCCGGTAAAGCAGGGCCCCCGGGTCTCCCTGGGTTCTGCGAAGCGGCAATGTGTCTGGCTGCATCAGCATACACCTCACCAAGATTACAAGAGGCAGGGACGATCAAAGGACCCAATTTTTAGAGAACCCTCTCTCTAAATCAACTGCTGGGGAGGGAGTGAAAGAGGAAAAAAAGTGACTGCTCTCCTTAGTTGGACAATATCGGGAAAAGAGAGTTCGGGGGCAATGATAGTGACTGGATGTTAAGGCCCCCCCGACTCTACTGAATATTAGAATTTGAAGTTTTTGCCTGTGGGATGTCAAGATCTTAATCCCACATGTCACCATGACAACAGCAGTTCACAGCCACCCACATATTTAAGAAGTCTCCAGTGTTTTTGGATGATGTCACTGTCAGAGCCATCCAAATACCATATTCCTTTTCTAGCAGTGAGAAGGGATCAGATTCAAGCTAAAACTTTATATTTCTTTCTACCACACTATATAGGCTGGGGGATGTTGTGAGATGCACAATTTTGCAAAAATAAATAAGGTGAAATGTGCATTTCTTAACATTGTCTCTCAGATAGTTAAGAGTAGATTCAATGATTTGTTTGTTTTGAAGGTCAGATTCCCTCTCTCAACTGGATCATCTAATGTTAAAATTTACAGAACGGACCAATAAATAATTGCAGCCTTCATTTTCATTCAGTAATTTATTATAAAACATATTTCCTGTTCTGTAAGCTTGAGTAAAATCCTTGATATAACTCATGTAAATTGCTTACTCCCTCCTTCAATCCCCCACTTTCTACCTAAGTCTCATTTTAGAAACTAACAACAAGTTTTATCTCTTTCTCTTGTTGCCTGGCAACAGGATATCCTGAAAGGCACTCCCATCTCCCACAATGCAGTGCTGTAAATCTTTGTAAATGTGTGTTGATTGTTATGTGCAAGAATAACGTGCAGATCCTTCAAACTAATGACTTTTCCATGAAACAATTAGTTAACGGTTCAAATGTGCTATAAATGCCACTGTCAGATTTCCACAGGATGACTCTTTTATGTCACTTCAGAGAAGCTATTTATTATTCTTGATATAATCACCTGTAAAGACATGGGGAGGGGAAAGGGAGGGGGGGGTCGGTCATTTCTGGATGTTTCCTCTTCCAAAGCCAATAAAGTGGAACCTTTTGTAAAATCCAATCTTCCTCTGTATCAGTGTTAGGAAGATATTTAATATATTTGAGACGCTTCCACATCCTTGCAATATTACAACTATTGATTAATGCATGTAAATAAACTCCCTTGCCTCACATATTCAGCTCAATCAACATGTTTGGTTCACTGAGCCCAAAAATCAACATTGATTGACTAAACTGTGTGAGCTTTAACATTGAATGTGGTTAGCATTGACAAGCAACCATTTATTTTTTATCAAAACCGAGTTAAAAAGCTTATAAAGTATGCATGTGAATCTGTGCTTGTTAAAGGTCTGTTCTACTTAAAGGAACAAAATAAATTCAAACATGCAGTACTCGCCTATACTGTGTAGATATGGATATCTAGAGAATTGGATGAAAATAGCTGCTGAGGTATAAAGGTAAAAAAGCATAAAGACTTTAATTTTCTTCCCGAAGACACAACGTGCAACTACCAAAATGTAATTATGCATTGAACTAAAACAAACACAAAATAAAATTACAAAAAGTAGCTATAGAGTACAAACAGGAAAGGAGAAACTGCATGGTCATTAAGAAGCAACTACTAGCAGGCAGTAGCTCACTTCAGCTAGCAGAACATGAATAAATCATAGTAGAAAGGGCATATTTTCTACCCTCTAAGATAAGTCCTTGAGAAGTCACGAGGTTGGGACACCCACCAGAATCTAGAACATCCCTTATGGCCCTCAGCTAGCCTATTATACCTCCTGAGGGGTGCAGTGTGGTTAGGAGAGACTTTACTGCCCTCTAACCACTGCATCAGCAGTTAAAAAAGGCACACACTGGAAAAATTCAAAATCTAGATAAGTCTTTTTTTTTCTTAAAATAAGTGCGTTTGTTCTTGAATTAAGGAGGTAGAAGACATTTTGCCAATGGAACAAGACAATTTACATTCAAAAACACAATTCCATTGTTTTATTTCAAGTGCATTTTATCTAATTGTCTTATTTTAGGGGTAAAAAATACTAATTCGATTGGCAAACTATCTCATTTACCTGCTCAAATTAAAGTAAATACACTTATTTTAAGAAATTTTTTCACTTTTTTCTAGATCGTTTTTTCTCTTACATATAGTGGGCCCTCACCACTTGAGGCGCCCTTTAGCACTAATTTTCACCTTTAAGAGGGGACTTTAACATGCGTTTTGGCTCCCAAGGGAGCACTTCAGCAGATGTTTTGGCTCCCTAAGGCGTGCTTTAACTTGCGTTTTGGCTTACAAGGGGGCAATTTAAGCAGCATTTTGGCTTCTGAGGGAACTTTAGCATATATTTTCTGGCTCCCAAAAAGGAATATTTGCACACGATTTGGTTCCTTATAAAGCACATTAGCATGCCTTTTGTCTCCCAAGAAGTCACTTTGGCACTCGTTTTGGGTCTCAAGAGGGCACTTTAGGCAGTGTTTTGGCTAACAAGAGGGAACTTTAACATGTTTTGGCATGGGAGAGGGCACTTTAACCTGTGTTGTGTTCCCAAGAGGGAACTTTGACATGTATTTCCACTCCTAAGTGGGCATTTTGCCTTCCAAGAGATCTTATTAGCATGTATTTTTCCTCTCATCAGGGCATTTTAGCATGCATTTTGGCTCCCAGCAGGGTGATTTAGCACGCTCTTCTCAACAACTGGGCCACAAGGGGAAGGGCGGGGGGGGGTCCACAAGGCCGGTCTACATCCTGAGACCCTCTGTGTCCTTTAGAAGGATCCAGGTGTAGGCATAATAGGAATCATAACATGAAGGATTTATAAGAAAATAAAATTTACAGAGCTTTGGATGGAAAAAACACAAGAGGAACCATAGAGTATGGTCTACAGCAGTAGTATCTGGTCAACTATGACAAGGAAAAACATTTTCAACATTTGTGGATGGATGATTGCACTCGTAAGTTAATTTAAATGACTGCCTGACATCTGTGACACAAGCCTGGGATAATGAGAAGCTGAAAAGGTAGGTTTCCTTTGCATAATTAATGCAAAGGACTCTGTAACATGTACAATTCAGAACATTAACACAACCCAACATAACAATGAATCCAGCATCATCCACTGTGGAAGATGCATTTCATTTTGTCTTTATTGTTCTTTATACTGGGATTTAAGACACTTTTTTTTATCAACTCAGCTAAAACGGTCTGATTTATTTTGGAAAGATGAAGCAGACATGTTGAAAAGCTGGCTGTTTAAAAATCATGTTGTTGCTCTGTCAAAGTTCGTGAAGAAGGCCTGGCATTTGTTGTATCCCATATGATAAACTTTTCTCTCTGTATGTGTCTAAAATTTCCTAGATTATTAATATGTCAATGTTTTTTTTTTAATTATTATTCTTCCATGTATTGTATATTATTCTAAAGTGTCTAATAAGCCCCAAAGTTCTTGGCTCCAACCAAGGTGCTTGACACTTACAGTAAATAAAAAATAAGTCAATAAAATCAAATCATCCAAAAAGGAACAACAGAGAAATATGAAGGAAAAACAAAATATTGTCAATGGAACATAGCTTTTGAAATAACACATCAGCTAAGGGAGCCATAAGGGGGCTGTAGAGGGATATAATGCGGTGGTGAAGTGAGTTTCATGCTTGATATTTGTCCTCAGTGTATACAGCATTTTCATCCCTCTGCTTAACAAAACACCCATGTATGAGGAGATGAGTAAACTGAGTGAACGATCAGAGGATGACACCAGTGAATATTAGGAGTACGATCATTGAACCTGAAACCAACTTACCTTACTTTGGTTAGAGGTCATATAGATGTTTACAGTAAATATTGCTCACTCTCACAAAGCTTTAAAACATTTCTTTAAAACAAGAAAATGCTTCTCTCATTTCTGTCTACAATTAATTTCAATATGGCCTCCTTTGCTCTTAAGTATTGTTTTGGATTTTGCCACAGCACAGGTATGGACTGGCAGTTTATGTCAAAAATCAACCCAATTCAGAAATTGATCATAACAATGCTGAAAACTATTTTTTTCTTGGTTTAAGGTTAGAAAAACTGGTACCTGTGATGTTTTGTGCAAATGCATCACTAAATTATATTCTGACTTTTTTCAAGAATTACAGCCTAAATGCTACTTTATGCAAATCTTTATCATCTGGCACTCTGTAGTAAAATGTTCCTCTCCAGCTACCCTTTTCTAAAAGTTAAAAATAGATGGTGAAGTTCCTTCCAAGAGCTCTTGCTTATTTGCTGACCACTACTTATCCTTGATGGTCATACTTGGCCAAAAGCTGATTTGATTTATAATACCTCAGCAAAAAAAAAAAAAGAATAGGGGTTAAAAAATAAATAAGTGGAAGTTCAAAAACAAATGGGGCACATTGGTGCTGATAGGCATTAGGTACATATTGTCAGCTTATGGCAGGCCAGCCCTTTGACAACAGTTGAGAGTCAAAGTCTGTCACTCATAACAGCGGTCCTGAAAATTTGCAAAAACCGTGGAAGTGATTCTAAATATCTAACACTGAAAATCTAGTTAGTCATTTTGTGTTTTACATATTTTAAAAAGAATATCATATTATAAGCTTAACTTCAAAACACTTTTCATTTTCATCAATAGAATTTAATGTGAAAAAGAAAAAAAAAATATATATATATATATATATATATATTATTAGGGGTGGGCTGTGGGCAATTATCGGCGTTATCGACGCAGCACGTTAACACCAGTCTCTTATTGGGTGATAGAAAAAAAAATATCGCCGTTAATTGATTCTCACAGCTGGGTAGGGAGCTGGATCTATAGCTATGACCTAGCGCGGATGTATATCGGGGGATGAGAAAAAATCAGTCTTGTGTGTAGGCGTACTGTTCACACATCGAATGTGACGTGCTAACATGCATGCAGCTATAATGCGGGTGGGTTTCTTAAGGTAAAATTTACATTTAAGAACACCCATCAGCATGGTTGAAGATGGTGGGCTCGAGCTTGTTCTCCAGGTGGCCACAGATGACCCATCTTACAAACTACCTGCAAGATGAACTATCAGGATGAGAATACATTACAAGCACATCACGGAGAAAGCAGCAACAGATTAGAAGTTGCTAGAGGCAACGTGTGGACAGTGAACCACTGGACATTTGTCAATAATGATAACTACCTCTGTGTCACTGTACATCTCATTAATGTTAACTGGGAACCACACTTCTTTGCTTTAGGTAGGCGATGTTATGAAATTTTAAATTACATTTTACCACAACACCACAAATGATTACCATAAGATAATTTTTGCTTCTTGATGACAGCTTTGGTGAGTGTGGTTAAGAGGGACAAAATGTTTGTTCAGTGGTATTATGTGATGCATTTTGCGTGTCTAACTTATTTAGATAGCACA